TAAAATGAATATCCTATCGAACTTTTGCTGTTTCTCATAACTTGGTTACTGATGCATGCTTTTAACCTTTAGCGACGCTTTTGTTCAAATCTTGGGATGACAAATCAGGCAGTTAAAGCTGCTCAAGAAGCAGTAAAAAAATCTGAAGAGTTTGACATAAGGTAGCTTTGCTTGTATTTATGTTGATTCACAGATGCTTATTCCAGATTTATTAGCCGTTCAAACTAAATGCTACATTTGACAAAAAATGATCTCATTTTTTCCCAAATAGTAGAGAGCATGTATTTTCAAATTAGTGATTGATGAGGAGAGTCTTTAGTCCTATGACTATGTAGATAGTTAAGCTTAAGAAGTTCTAAATTTTTTGTTCCTTACATGCTAAAACTCACTATATTACAGTAGAGAACAAAATCATAGACATGGTAGTGTAAATAGGTAAATACATGACGATGGTGGTGTTCGTTTTTGGTATCAGAAGACTATAACTATATAGCAGAACCATGACCCTTAGCAGCAGCAAGCAAGGTGTATGGGTTATGCTTTTACCTCATGTCATGTTCATAAGATGGTCCTAGTCTTCACTTATCTGCTACCTTGTGTGGTTAGATGAATGCATTTTTTGGATGCTAAGATATGAATTCACAGACTTCTTGTTGCGATCGATTTTTCATGAATCATGACATTTGATGTTTAAGTAAAAGAATTCCTGGTGTAACTTGAATTAAGATTTTAGAAGTACAGGCTTACAGAGTGATTATTTAACCTGAATACCAATTCCTAGCTCCCATGCTTAATAAGGATTCATACAGCCGACCTCAACTAGCTTGAGGTTGAGGTGTTGTTTTTGTTATGTAGCTTCTTACAACTTAGTTATTTGTTAAATTCTTCCACTGGAACGAGGAATTTTTTATATCTGTTCCCCTCCTTGAGATACAATTATCACTTAATTCTGCTTGTCATCTTTCAAAGAACTGGTCATGCTACTTGTTCCAATTTCCAAAATGCTTGAACAATCATATGATACCCAATGTATTTACTCCTCTAAATGAAACTGCAGGAGAAGTCCCATTTCGATTGCTGCAGCAGTTATCTACATAGTCACTCAGCTTTCGGATGAGAAGAAGCCAGTTAAAGGTAATGAAAATATGATTATTCTCTTTCTGTTGACATGGATGCTTAGACACCAAATTCCCTCCTTGATAGGAATTGCATTTGTGGAACGAGTTCTCCTCCGTATTTCTAGTGCTGAATGTCATCCTCATACCCCATGCATCTTTACACTGCTACATTAGCCCAGGCCTCTAAACTGTATGATGTTTCCTATGACGATTTGAATTGATTATCTTTGTCCCGGGGGTGATGAGTTACATTGTAGGTCAATCTTGTATTCTGAAGCATCTGCATATTGAATATCCGACATGTCATGTAAAAAACTGTATGAATGCAGATGTGTCACTTGCAACTGGAGTTGCTGAAGGTACTATCCGGAATTCCTTCAAGGATCTATACCCACATCTCTCAAAGATAATACCAAATTGGTATGCACAGGGTCAGGACCTAAAAAACCTCAGCAGTCCTTGATGAAGCTAAGCTAACCATGTCAACAAGTGACAAACTTTTTTCAAAAATGCCTTCAAGAATGTTGTGTATCGGAGGACCCTTCGATGAAATTAACAGGAGGGGAAGCTTCTTTTACCCCAACATTTGGGCTAATACACATTAAATTATTAAACAGTTCTAACTTAGGATAGATCTTCAAGTTAAATTACAAGTTGTAAATGTTTTTTTCCTTCAAGTGATACTCTTTCTTCATAGACTACTGTACTGAGATTAACATGAAAATGTAGTTTCCAAATTTAACTTCATCACTTGTGCATCATCCTCTATAATTGTACAATATGTTATGTGAGTTGTACTATTTATATTTTATCCACATTTACCTTTATTTTACCTTATCAATATATAGGAAACAATTCTTTTAGTGTTAGGAGAACCATAATTATAGAAAAGGGATTTAACTAACATCTTTATTTCCCCAAATTATTTCTTGAATGAGTGTCAACTGTCACATGTCTAATATATCGATGACTTAGGTTTAATTAATTGAGGGCTACAACAATAATTTATGTAGAGTGGGAAAATAGGCAATTAATTGAGGGCTATAACAATAATCAATGGTGGCTATTTTCCAAAGAAATTGGCTACAATTGCAATTCAAAATTAGGCTATATATAAGCCAACAACAAAAAGGATTAACACTGCAGTACTTAATATTGTACAATATGTTATGTGAGTTGTACTATTTATTTTTTATCCACATATATCTTTATTTTACCTTATCAATATTTAGGAATCAATTCTTATAGTGTTAGGAGAACCATATTTATAGAAAAGAGATTTAACTATCATCTTTATTTCCCTAAATTATTTCTTGAATGAGTGTCAACTGTCACATGTCTAATATTGATATCAATGACTTAGGTTTAATTAATTGAGGGCTATAACAATAATTTATGTAGAGTGGAAAAACAGACAATTTATTGAGGGCTATAACAATAATCAATGGTGGCTATTTTCCAAAGAAATTGGCTACAATTGCAATTCAAAATTAGGCTATATGTAAGTCAACAACAAAAAAGACTAACACTGCAGATACCCCAAGAAGGAAAAATATACCCCGAACTATCGTAAATGGTATACAGATACACTCCGTCATACTTTTGGGACATTTGTGCCCCTGTCGTCCAAAAACTAGAGCATATATGCCCTTCACTCTAACGGAAGACTAAATAGGGACATGTGGCGCAATCTTATCCGTCGATCCGATATTTAATAAATGTCGGATCGGTGGATAAGATTATGACACGTGTATGTCTGTTAGTATAAATGGTATATTTGCTCTAGTTTTTAGACGGCAGGGGCACCAATGTCCCAAAAGTATGACGGAAGGTATACCATTTACAATAGTTCGGGGGTATATTTGTCCCTTTTCCCTTAAATTAATAGACTTCTAAACAATTTACATTGAATCTGATTGTAGAAAGTTGTTCCATATTCCCACATTTATTGAAAGTTTCAATTCCTTAGTTATTACCTATAATTAGTTCGATTAAAATGTTTAATTCCTCTCATCTTCCATAGAAGTAATATCATGCCTTTTCATATTCTTTATAGGATTCTATAAATTTGGACAGAAAAATTTATACTATTCAATCACATAGTATAATTACTTAGTGCATTTTTTCGTTTTTTAATCATGAAATGCATTAAACTCATGTCGTTGAAAAAAGATTATATCTGGGGTTTTAGAAGGGCAAATTAAACAATATTATGCTCCAATGATTTAGGTTTATTCATGGGTTCATTAGAGCATTAACATTTTGTGTTAACTTGAGGTAATTCTGTATGACTACAGCCTGTTTGGTTTATCTTTTTAACTATTTTTGACTAATCAGTCTAAAAAATATTTTTTGCTAATTTTAGAGAGTTCTTGGTGCTCAATCAAGGTTCTAAAAATGCTTCAAAGAAAAACAAGGTTGAATACATATCGACAATCCCTTAAATTTGTTAGAAAACTTCATCTAGATATTTGAACTATGATTTGTTCCAGTTGAACACCTGAACATATGATAAAGTGTTTCCATTAGACATTTCCGCCTCAAAATTTGAAAATATTTTTGTGTGTTTCTTAAGCGCCTATCATGTAGTCACATAAAATATGTCACCTCCTTCAACTATACGCATCATCATCATCAACTGAAATTTGGAACACTCCAGAGGTTTTTAAGACTTGTTGAAGCTAGTGTGTAGAATTAAAGGAGGTGACATGCTTTAAGAAAGTTATCTTATCTACATAATGGATAGGAAATGCAAAAACATTCCCAAAGTTTTCATCGGAAATGTTTGATAGACCACTCATCATGTATTCAGATGCTCAATCGAAACATGCTATTATTCAGATGTTCAAAAGAAGTTTACCGACAAGTTAAAGGGGCTAATCGATGTATTTGGCCAAAAAACTTCTCCTTTACTCGAAAACACTTACATTTTTCTTTGAAGCTTTGACCAAACACCTCAACTCTCTAAAATAAACACTTCTTTTATTTTTAGTCCTACGATAGAAGATTCCCTTCAAGGGGTTATTTATCACACCATTTATACTAAAATGGTGGGATTACTACCTCATATAGAAGGTGAGATAAAATAATCCCATTGGATATCAGATATCCTTATTTATCCCATTCCGTGAACCAAACGGCCCCATAGTATTTTGTCCTATAATAAAAGATCTACAAATTAACAGTACTAAGGACCACAGAAATAGTAATGGTCCTGCTCTGATGCACAGGCTGGAAACTCAGACCTTGTAAGTGTATTTTTTTGTTGTTTACCATGAAAAGGATGATATTTTTCTTTGGTAAATGGAAACTAAGAAACATATTTGTAAATAACAAACTTTTACTTTTTTAATGATGACCATTGTGAAGACCGAAGAGCCTGCTCCACAAAGCGGATCTATGATTTGAAGTTTATTATATGCACATTTTTAGTGAATTTCTTAACAAATATACAGAGTTTAGACCATACTTACTAGGTTTTGCCGAACTCATACCTTCCATGCTAGCTCCGCCCCTGCGGCAAGAACATGGGGGAAAAGTTGATAACAATTCAATATTGACTCTTCAGTCTCCTGTAGCACAGAACTCAAACTGAAAATTAAGAAGCTGCAGTGTAAGTATAAAGTATGATATATTTTGAATTGTGAACACACAACACCTTTTTTTCTACATAAATCCATAGCACAGAGAATTAAGAATATAACTTTTTTGTAACCACTTGTCAGTGGTGTAACAACGACAACAACAACAACAACGTACCAAGTGTAATCCCACTTGTTGATAGTTTTATTAAGAAAAAAAAACAAAGAAAACGACTGCATACAGGCTACCGCTATACATGTTTTCCATACATTTATTAAATTTTTTAGCAGCCCACAAGCAAGTATGAGTTTTCATTGGACTCATGCATTATAAGAGCATCTATGTTTTCATTGGAAGCTGCAGATACTCATAAAACTGCAAAAAAATTCTAAACATTTTCCCAATGGCTGAGAACAACACAACAAAAAGCAATGGCCAAATAAGTGTTCAAGATGCACAAGTGGCTGTGGTTATGGTGCCACTTCCAGCACAAGGCCATCTCAACCAGCTTCTCCACCTCTCGAGGCTAATCACCTCATATAATATCCCAGTGCACTATGTTGGAGCAACCCCTCATATTCGCCAGGTCAAGTTACGTGTCCATGGTTTCGACCCTGTTACTACTAAAAACCTACATTTTCATGAATTCCCTACACCACCTTTTGAAAACCCCCCTCCAAATCCAAATGCTTCTCATAAATTTCCTAATCATATACTCCCTTTACTTTATGCAACAATCCATTTCCGTGAGCCAGTGTGCTCTCTTGTAAACCAACTCTTAGGCGCCAATCATCGGAGAGTGATTGTTATTTATGATTCTCTGATGACTTGGGTGTTGGAGGATATACCAGCAATTCCAAATGCCGAGTGCTACCGTTTTAACAGTTTCTCAGCTTTCTATATGTTTTCATCCTATTGGGAAGCCAAAGGAAAACCTTTCCAACCTGAAACTGAGATATTTGAGGACATTATATCAAGAGAAAACTGTGCTACCCCAGAGTTATGGGAATTGTGGAATAAACAAGGATCCCTTGAAGGGAAAATTTGCTCTGGAGAACTTTACAATACATCCAGAGTAATAGAAGGTTCATACCTTGATTTAGTAGCCAAAGAAACTAATGGCTTAAACCTATGGGCTATTGGTCCATTCAATCCGTTGTTGTCTGAGCAGAACAAAGACTCAAACAAACAACATCAAACCTTGTATTGGCTTGACAAACAAGAAACAAATTCGGTAATCTATGTGTCTTTTGGATCAACTACTACCTTGTCTAATAAAGAAATCAAAGAGCTCGCCATCGGGTTAGAGAAAAGCATGCAAAAGTTCATTTGGGTTCTCAGAGATGCTGACAAAGGAGATGTTTTTGCAGGTGAAGAAAGGAGAGCTCAGCTGCCAGAAGGTTATGAAGAAAGAATAAAAGGAAGAGGAATTATTGAAAGAGATTGGGCACCTCAGTTGGAAATTTTGGCACATCCTTCCACAGGTGGTTTTATGAGTCATTGCGGATGGAATTCGTGCATGGAAAGCATTTCCATGGGAGTTCCTATAGCAGCCTGGCCAATGCATTCAGATCAACCAAGGAATTCTCAGCTGGTAACAAAGGTCCTGAAAACTGGCCTAACTGTGAGGCATTGGGCACGTCGGGATGAATTGGTTGCATCAGAAATAGTTGAAAATGCTGTGAGAACTTTGATGGCTTCACCTGAGGGAGATGAGATGAGGAAGAGAGCATCAGAATTAAGCATTGCTGTCAAACAATCAGTCATGGATGGGGAAGGTTACGGTGCGGAGATGAATTCTTTTATCGCACACATTACTCGAGAACTTTCTCACCAGAATTGACCAATTGATAGCATAAGTGGTTCAACCTATGAGACTTTATCAATGCTCTATCACCATCTGAGTGGGTTCAGTGTCCCCTTTTATGCACATCACTGCATGTATGTTTAAGGATAAAAAGCTTTTCTTTATGAGTTCCTTATATTTTTTAGTATAAATGTAAAGGTCCTCCTTTACTAGCAACTAGTTCTTTTGGCCAGAGATATAAAATATTAGAAGCTGTTTGTGTAATCTTTCAAGAACTTTTTGCTTGTGACTACTGAGTGATATACTATGTATTTTCCATTCTGCCAGACTTCTCATCTTGTTAAGTGTAATTTACATTATTTTCTCAACATTAATACTACTCATATTTTGCATCTAGACAAATAAGGAAGAGATACGGTAAGCTTTCTTGAGAGATTAGATTTGAAATTGCAATTTGCTCTGTTGCAAAAGGAGCTGTAAAAGGGGGAAAATCAGAAGAGTTTGATATAAGGTATCTACTTTGATCTGTATTTCAGATTTAGTGGTAACTGTGGAACATATTCAATTCCTTGACCAAGTAAGATTGCTAAAGTATTTTTGAATCTTTTGTGTCTTACATTCTAAAAAAAACCTAAAATACAGGAAATGTTAGGGGTGCGTCCTTTTTCCGCATCTTGCTAAGGGGGATTTTGGGGCACCGAATTTCTCTTCCTTTATGTTTCAGTGTGGGTTAGTTTAGTCCATATTTCAAATTTGAGACCTCAAAAGATTACCTGCTTAATCAACTATAGTTATATGTATGCTTCATAAGTGACAAAACATAAATAATTAATGGTGTATGCTATTATTATATTTAACAAAAAACAACATCGTTCGTTATAGTACATGATACTTGAGTTTTCCAAAGTGAATAGAAAAATGGTATATGTGAAGCAATAATTAGTCATGTGTTTCATTTTATGTGTTACTAGCTAGCTATCAAAATTGACACTTATAGCATTGACTAATTTAAGTTGCAACCAAAACCCACTATTAGTGGCAACCATTATAGGGATTACCGATGATCAAAATAGCAGGTAAAAACATACTTTCATCTGAAACTTAAATAAGAATAAGCAACAACTGCATATACCCCTAATATTGACATTTAGTGGCGAGAAATTTTGCCACAGAAACAAGATACTAGCAACGACTAATTTTGTCACTAAAACATTCTTTTATTGGCGACTATTATAGGTATTAGCAACTACTTATTTTGCCACTAAAACATTCTTTTATTGGCGCCTATTATGAGCATTAGCGGCGATTATTCTTGCCACTAAAACAAACTATTAGTGGCGACTATTATATGTATTAGCAGCGACAGCTTTTGCCACTAAAACATTATTTTAGTGGCCACTAGTATAGGTATTACAACGACTAATTTTGCCACCAAACATTCTTTTAGTGCCGACTATTATGAGTATTAGCGGCGATTATTCTTTTCACTAAAACAAACTATTAGTGGCGACTATTATATGTATTAGCAGCGACTAAGTAGTGACTTTTCCGTAAAATTTGTGACTTTTAAGAAGGGTAAAATAAATAAGAATCTTGATTTGTGACGGCGTCGCATAGGCAGGTCGGCTGTTGTAAACAAATGCACGTTTATGAAGAGTGGCAAGAGTGGTAACAAAATGAACGGAAAAAGCAGCGGTTGAAGGCTGAAACTACGTTCCTATTGTTGAGGGGGAAGGACAGTTTTGGAAATAAATAAATAAAAAAAGAATCCTTACTTCTAGTGGCGCGACGTCACCGGGTTGAGGGTTCTCTTTTATATATATATATATATATTCTTTAATTTAATATAATTTTATTTTATTTTGAAATTAATGATCTGAAACAAATCTTAGAAATTTGTGTAGCGATAAATTATTTCAATTAAGAATAAAAGAAAAAAATTAAAGTTAAAATATGCCTAATTATAGAAAGGTGACAACTTTTTTTTTGTCACGAATTAAAAAGAAAAATATGTCACATTAATTTGAACAAATAAAGTATACAACAATTTCATTATTTTTTAGAAAATAAATGATACTAACGTTTAACTTTCTTTTTTTAATAAAATAAAATAAAACGCAAATAGTAAAGAGATTTTGTGGATCTCCCACCAAACGTTTTCTTCAAAGTTGAATCATGTAGTTGAAAATGGATTATATAATTTAATGTTTATTTATAGGTGCATTAGAGCATTAAGATGAGGTAATTATTCGGTGTATTTTTAAAATCAGCTTATTTAAAAAAAATAAAAAATTATTCGGTGTATTTTAAAAAAATACTTTTTGGAAGTATCAGTTTATTTGAATAATCAATTTGAAAAATATTTATATTAAAACTAAAACAATTAGTATTCGACCAAAATTCTAAAAGTGTTTCGAAGGTTAAAAACTATTTCGCTTCAAGGAAAACCAACTTCTACTTTAGATGAAAACACATATATTTTTCCCAGAAGCTTTGATCAAACACTTCAATTCTCTAAGTGGACTCTAAAGAAGGTGATATGTTTGCAGTCTTATAACTACTATGTGAAAGATAGAAATATTGTTATCGATATACCTTGACTCAAGTAAAATATATAAAAATCAAGTATCTTGAGAACTTATTTCTAATAAATCCTCGGCTCAACTCTTTAAAATAACCACATATTTTATTTTAAGAAATTCCCGACTCAACTTTCTAAAATAATCATTCTTTCTTTAGAAAAAAAACTTCTTATTTCATTGAAACTTGACCAGACAGACTATAAATTAGTATTACCTAATTGGTGAAGATATCTAGAATTTCCTTTTGTGATAACATCAAATAATGGAGAAACTACAACAACTGCTTAATATGGACAAAAACTGAAAAGAAAGTCTATAATGTCTGCTCCCATAACAAACATATTAGTATTTTGTCCTATGATAGAAGATTCTAATAATAAAATAATGAAGATCTACAAATTATATATATTTGGATTTTTTTACAATGAGGATGATGATATTTTTCTTTGGTAGCTAACAACATATTTGTAAATAACATGCCATTATGGTTATTATTCAGTGAATTTCTCGATAAATATACAAAGTTTAGACTAAAGTTATTGAGTTTTGCTGAACATTGCGGCAAGAACATGGGAAAGAGTATGTAATCAACTCAATATTGACTCTCTCCAGTCTCCTTTAGCACAAAACTCAAAAGAAAAACTAAGAAGCTGCAGTCCAAACATATAGTATGTTAATATTTGAATTGTGAACATACAAAAGTATGTTTTCTACATAAATTCATAGTATAGAGAATTGAGGGTATAACTTTTTTCGTAACCACTTGTCGGTAGTTCTACAACACAATAACATATCCAGTGTAATCCCACTTGTCGGTGGTTTTATTACAAAAAAAACAAAGAGATTTGATTGTGATTGCATACAGATGCCTGTTCATTTTGTTGAGAAGGTATCCTATTAATGATTTTAAGTTTTTTAGCAGCCCACCAGCAAGTACAAGTTGGCATTGGACTCATGCATTATAAAAGAATCTATGTTTTCACCTAGACTACATGTAACTCGAGACACTTCAGAAGCTCAGATACTCATACAACTGCAAAATTTCAAAACATTTCCCAATGGCTGAGAACTACACAACAAAAAGAAATGGCCAAATAAGTGTTCAAGATGCACAAGTGGCTGTGGTTATGGTGCCACTTTCAGCACAAGGCCATCTCAACCAGCTTCTCCACCTCTCGAGGCTCATCACCTCGTATAATATCCCAGTCCATTATGTTGGAGCAACCACTCATATTCGCCAGGCTAAGTTTCGTGTCCATGGTTTCGACCCTGGCACAGCTAAAAACCTATATTTTCATGAATTCCCTACACCACCTTTCGAAAATCCTCCTCCAAATCCTAATGCTTCAAATAAATTTCCTAACCAATTAATCCCTTCATTTTATGCAACAATCCATCTCCGTGAGCCAGTGTGCTCTCTTGTACGCCAACTACTAGGCGTCAATCATCGGAGAGTGATTGTTATTTATGATTCTATGATGAGTTGGGTAGTAGAGGATGTACCAGCAATTCCAAATGCTGAGTGCTACCGTTTTAATAGTATCTCAGCTTTCCATACGTTTTCATGCATCTGGGAATCCAGAGGGAAACCTTTACAAGCTGGAACTGAAATATTCGAGGACATTTCATCAAACGAAAACTGTGCTACCCCAGAGTTATGGGAATTATGGAGTAAACAAAATTCCCTTGAAGGGAAAATTAGCTCTGGAGAACTTTACAATTCATCCAGAGTAATAGAAGGTTTATACCTTGATTTAGTAGCCAAAGAAATTAATGGCTTAAACCTACGGGCTATTGGTCCATTCAATCCGTTGTTGCTGACTGAGCAGGACAATGATTCAAATAAACGTCACAAAACCTTGGATTGGCTTGACAAACAAGAACCGGACTCAGTGATATATGTGTCTTTTGGAACATCTACTTCTTTGTCGAATGAAGAAATTGAACAACTCGCCATTGGGTTAGAGAAAAGCCTGCAAAAGTTCATTTGGGTTCTCAGAGATGCTGACAAAGGAGATGTTTTTGCAGGTGAAGAAAGGAGAGCTCGGCTGCCGGAAGGTTATGAAGAAAGAATAAAAGGAAGAGGAATTATTGCAAGAGATTGGGCACCTCAGTTGGAAATTTTGGCACATCCTTCCACAGGTGGTTTTATGAGTCATTGCGGATGGAATTCGTGCATGGAAAGCATTTCCATGGGAGTTCCTATAGCAGCCTGGCCAATGCACTCAGATCAACCAAGGAATTCTCAGCTGGTAACAAAGTTCCTGAAAATTGGCCTAAATTTGAGACATGGGGCATGTCAGGATGAATTGGTTACATCAGAAATGGTTGAAAATGCTGTGAGAACTTTGATGGCTTCACCTGAGGGAGGTGAGATGAGGAAGAGAGCATCAGAATTAAGTGTTGCTGTCAAACAATCAGTCATGGATGGGGAAGGTACTGGTACAGAGATGGATTCTTTTATCACACACATTACTCGATAACTTCTCATTTGTATTGAACAATTGGTTGCACACTACCATCTAGTTAACATAAGTGATACAACCTATGACACTGTATCAATGCTCTATCACCATCCGAGTGGGTTCAGTGTCCACCCTACTGGCACCCCTTTATGCACATCACGGCATGTATGTTGAGGATAAAAACCTTTCCTTTATGAGTTCTTTGTATTTGTTAATATAAAAGTGGATGTCCTCCCAGATAAATAAAATATTGGATGCTGTTTGTGAATTCTTACAAGAATTTTGTGCTTGTGACCTGAATAACATAGTATGTTCTTTCAGGACTTTTATAGCTTCTTGTCTTTAACTCTGTGACCTTGTATTTGATATTCTGCCAGACTTCTCATGTTGGTAGGAGTAGACAATCTTTTTAAGTGTACTTTACAATATTTTCTCAACATTTATAGAATACTCTTTTTTGCATCAAGACAAATACGGAAGAGCTCTGGTATTCTATGAAGTTTTTCAATTAAAATATGAATCACTTTGTAACTATACTAACTTTTAACCTTAGCAACACTTTTTCAAATCTTACGATGAGTGATCCATGAAGCTGTCAGAAAATCAGAAGAGTTTGACACAAGGTAGCTCTGCTTGTATCTATTTTTATCTGAAGATGCTTATTTCAGATTTATTAAGTGGTCAAATTAGTGGGTGACTGAGGAAGGTCTTTGATTCCTTGACCAACTAAGATTGCTAAGCATTTTTTAATCTTTTGTGTCTTACCCTCTAAAACGAAGCTAAATTACAGGAAAATACTACATAATGAAGTCTATTATGACTGCTCCTTGACTAAAGTTTGCTCCATTATGTAATACTCCTACTATATTGTCCTACGATAAAAGAATCTGAAGATAGCAGTGTTTATAAGAACCACAAAACTAATATTGATATTTCTTTGATTCTTGCACTTGAAATAAACATATATTTGATTTTTACAATTATGATGATGAGGATGTAAATTCGACTGAGATTACAATGACAACTATCTCAGTATCTTTAATACTTACGTGGGTGTATACTTTTTTTTTCTTCAAATAATATTTTTATGGTCTGCCTTTGCTGTTGGTTTTTCCTCCATTTTGTATAAAACTCAACCAGTTGCTGTTGGTTTTACTGATAGACAACAAAGGATTTGATTGTGACTACTTTAAGTAATACATTTTGCAGCAATATGTCAAATAACAGAAGTTAAAAAATTTCAATATCTTTTTAACAATTAAGCTTTCTAGCAGCCGGCCAGATAATTCTAGTTGTTGGATTCATGCATTAGACATAATCCTTATAAGATCATCTATGTTTTTCTCCTACATATAACTCAAGGCACTTCAGAAACGGCAGACACTCATCAAACTACAAAATTTCTAAGCATTTCCCAATGGCCGAGAACTACCCCATAAAAAGCGATGGCAAAAAGGGTGTTCAGGATGCACAAGTGGCAGTGGTTATGGTGCCACTTTCAGCACAAGGCCATCTCAACCAGCTTCTCCACCTCTCGAGGCTCATCACCTCGTATAATATCCCAGTCCATTATGTTGGAGCAACCACTCATATTCGCCAGGCTAAGTTTCGTGTCCATGGCTTCGATCCTGTCACAGCTAAAAATCTATATTTTCATGAATTCCCTACACCACCTTTTGAAAATCCCCCTCCAAATCCTAATGCTTCAAATAAATTTCCTAACCAATTAATCCCTTCATTTTATGCAACAATCCATCTCCGTGAGCCAGTGTGCTCTCTTGTACGCCAACTACTAGGCGTCAATCATCGGAGAGTGATTGTTATTTATGATTCTATGATGAGTTGGGTAGTAGAGGATGTGCCAGCAATTCCAAATGCTGAGTGCTACTGTTTTAATAGTATCTCAGCTTTCCATACGTTTTCATGCATCTGGGAATCCAGAGGAAAACCTTTACAAGCTGGAACAGAAATATTTGAGGGCATTTCATCAAACAAAAACTGTGCTACCCCAGAGTTATGGGAATTATGGAGGAAACAAGAAGCCCTAATGAGGAAAGTTAGCTCCGGAGAACTTTACAATTCATCTAGAGTAATTGAAGGTTTATACCTTGATTTAGTAGCCAAAGAAAATGATGGACTAAACCAATGGGCTCTTGGTCCATTCAATCCGTTGTTGTCTGAGCAGAACAAAAACTCAAATAAACACCATCAAACCCTGTATTGGCTTGACAAACAAGAAACAAACTCGGTAATATATGTGTCTTTTGGAACAACTACTTCCTTGTCGAATGAAGAAATTGAAGAACTCGCTGTTGGATTAGAGAAAAGTATGCAAAAGTTCATTTGGGTCCTCAGAGATGCTGACAAAGGAGATGTGTTTGCAGGTGAAGAAAGGAGAGCTCAATTGCCTGATGGTTATGAAGAGAGGCTAAAAGGAAGAGGAATTATTGTAAGAGATTGGGCACCTCAGTTGGAAATTTTGGCACATCCTTCCACAGGTGGTTTTATGAGTCATTGCGGATGGAATTCGTGCATGGAAAGCATTTCTATGGGAGTTCCTATAGCAGCTTGGCCAATGCATTCAGATCAACCAAGGAATTCTCAGTTAGTAACTAAGTTCCTAAAAATCGGCCTAATTGTGAGGCATTGGGCATGTCGAGATGAATTGGTTACATCAGAAATAGTTGAAAATGCTGTAAGAACTTTGATGGCTTCACCTGAGGGAGATGAAATGAGGAAGAGAGCATCAGAATTAAGTAATGTTGTCAAACAATCAGTGGTGGATGGGGGTGTTAACCGTGAGGAGATGGATTCTTTTATCACTCACATTACTCGATAAGTTTCCCATCTAGATTAATTTCATCAATGGTCATCGAACTAAGCATTTATTGCATGAAAGTGTGGCTTTGATGAAGTCAGTTATGAAAAATTGGTAATTCAATCATATTTAGAGGACACTAATGTATTTTTCTTTATATTTTACTTTCTTCATTTTGTCTATGTTCCACCAAAATCATAGCTTATACTTCAACAACCATCTTTCTCTCTCTCTCTCTGTTTCTCTCTTTGTTGTAGGGTGGCGTCTGGTTGAGTGAGGACTAATATATGTGTAATATTAGTTATCCGTGAAACACATAATTTTACTTGTATTTTTCCTTTACTAAAATTTTAAAGAGTTTATTAGCAGGATAATAAACTACAACAACATGGCCGGCCACTAGCTAGGCCAATATCCCTGTGAATCAAATATGTGAGAAATGAGGCATTCCTCTGTTCTCCTTAACATTAACTTCATAGATCCAAAATATACGTATACTGTAATATGTAGTAACAGTTACTCCTTGTTTCATTTCTCTACGAGGTCCAACTTGATATATTTTGTTGTGAATCAAGTCGACTTTGTACGGGCTTATGTGTTAGAAGTAGCGAATGAGGTTGATTTGGATGGGATAATTGGGCCGCGTAAAATATTAGAGAGTTTTTTTTGGGATTCAGGCCCAATTATCAATTGGTTAAATAGGAATAGGAGTTAGACAAAAAGGTTATGTGTATTATGAAGAAACTGTCTTTTCCTCTCATTTTCTTTCTAGAGTCTTAACTTCTCATCCTCATTCTTATGTCTATCTTTAGTTACTTGTTATTTCAGTACTTCTCTTTGTAAATCAAGTGTTGTTATTATAATTTGGTTATCAATGGATATAAGGTTTATGTATCTGTATTGAGAATTTGGGTTTGTTTCATATTCGTTTTTCTTACTCACCAAAGAGCCCAAGTTCAAATCTTGGCACATTCTTTTGTCTTTTATTGATTTCTCGGTCTTCTATGCGACTAGCCAAGTAGTCATATTCATTCCTGTTGACACGAATAGCAACGAAAGAGAAGGAAATGACATTTACAGAAGTTGATTCACAGTTGAATACTTCAATCCCATCAGCTAATCTAAGCAAGAACCTGGAACTAAAGGAGGATCTTTATCCAGCAGTGTAAGTTCTACACTATGGGCCTTAATGTGCTCCATATCTATCAAATTTTCCTCGTATACCAAACACATCGAATACAGGATTGAACTGAATCAAACTAACAAAATTAACAAGTAACTATGAATGTGATTTAGAAATTAAGTCTAGAAGGCAGCCATAACATTTTGTACCTGAAAAGCAGCAGGGGAGGGTGCTTGAGCTCGAGTATCCGGAGTTATGGTTGTCCTGCAATCATTTTGGCAATCTGGGAATCAATCTTTTAACTCACTAAACACCATTTTCTCCTAGACTTCATCCTTTTCACAATTCTATGTCCATTTACTGCATTCTTCATATCAAATCAGGAGCACAAGTACTCTTTTTGGTGTTTTTTTTCTCTCAGTCATTTTGTCAAGCACTTTGAGTGCTTTGTAAAAAATCTTAGCATACAATACAATACAATCTCAACAATTCTTTGCATTCCAACAATTTTTTCAAATTATCTTTTAGAAAAAAAATTTAAACTTGATCCATTCAACTTAACATTCACTAAACATCTACGATTTGTCTGAGGCCACTTTAAATATGTTTTATTAAATTATGAACTTGATAAAGACTAAACTTCAGATATTTTAAACTGAAGTTGTGGTATTAACAAAGCTTCTATAAATAATTAATTTCCATTTTATTACAGTATATTTCGGGATTTTGTGGCGGCTGTTGTCGCCGCTAAATGTTTAGTTCTTTTGTAGTGAATCCTAGTTGACAACGCTTAGGTGGAAGGATTAGTCCACGTGGCTTGCCATGTCACTAAAAATTTGGGATGTTAACTCTTGAGGGTATTTGAAGTCTCTTAGGATAACAGCAGGGACATTTTTTATCCGAAAATATAACGAAGGGTATAAATGGTCTATTTCGCATAGTTCAGGGGCAATTTTGACCCTTTTTCGTATTATATAATATATATATATAAATGAATATGCGATAACTTTATCTCCATGAATTTAAGAAACTTTACTTGCATTGTATTATGGGTCTACAAAATAAATATGGGCGAAAGCTATAATTTTGCTTACATATTCAATATTAAAATTTAATAATTTTAAATCAAATTATGTATTTATGTTGATATCTCTTCTAAGTTTCGATATTTCAAAAATGATCTTTTTTTGAGATTTGATTAATTTGGATTTGCGGAGCCATAAAATCTCATTTTAAAAATAAAATGCTCTTTCTTAAAGGCAATTTCACATTAAGGATTTGAATTCAAGACATTTAATTAAAGATGAATGAGTACCAATTAACCATTCCATCACTAATCCTTAATCAGTTCAAATTATACTCTCTTCATTTTAATTATTTGTTCGGTTTTAACTTGACGTAAGGTAAAGAGTTTTTTTGAATCTCGTGATTTTAAATTAAAGATACGTAGAATGTATCAAAATGTTTTTAAATCTTATATAAGTCATGTATAAAGTTAAATTAACGAGTATTCAGAAAAGAAAAGATAAGTTATTTTTTAAACAAACTAAAATAAAAAGTAGGACAAAAATAAATTGAAACGATGGAAATATTGTTAATGTTGAATACCATTGAATAATGTTACAACTTACAAACATTTAATTTTGATCACCGTGCATGGACATGCCTTCTGGAAAATTGGAATTATATCCAAAAATAGCAAATCACTTCCAATTCAGGAAATAGGTTCCCATAACTATTGGACTTTCTTGAATATATATAAATAATTTTGTCTTTCAATGATTGGTGTTATTGAATACTCCTATAATATAGTTTTTTATTCGATGTTCGGTACTAAGCCCGACTAAATTTGAATTGACGTCGAGAAAATGCTTTCTATCAAAGGCAGTCGATTCCATATCCAAGAAGACTCGAATCTGAAACATTTGATTAAGAATGAATGAGTACTTATTATTTTATCAGAACGACACAACCCTTGTTGGTATAATTTAGTTATTATTCATTAAATTTAGGAAAAATTATATAAAATAACAAACTATTAATTCAAATTAAATGATATAACCACAGTTTGATTTAATTGTAACCTGTAGCAAACAATTGTCATTCGCCTCTCGCCCTGAATTTCTCGCTCGCCACTTTCCATTTCTCGCTGCCAGTCTCTCCCTCGCCTCTCTCACTTTATACAAACACAAATGTATAAAATGCGTTTGTGTTTGTATAAAGCGAGAGAAAACTGTATATATACATATCTTTTCGTTCGCCTCTCTCCCCAGAGAATCTCGCTCGCCTCTCTCACTTTTATACAAACACAGATGTATAAGAGAAGGGAGGGGAACTAGACTCTGCCTCTTCTATTACATGTACATTACATTACGGAGAAGTCCATTCTCGTCATGATCGATCCACGTCCTACGCATTGAATTTCTAGTAGTAGATCCATAATAAAAAAAAAGTCTTTGTGATTGTTCCAGAAGAAATGAAACAAAAGATATGGTAGAGCTAGGACGGTTATTGTATGAGGTCTACCCAATGCTAGATGCAGAGGCACACAATAGATCGATATGAACATCATGAGCTGCCCCGTAATAAAAATCAAAATTGTGTTTGTGTTTATATAAAGCGAGAGAAAATTGTATATAAAAATGCAAATACATATATTTTCGTCTTATACACTTATAATTATATAAATACAGAATTTTCCCTGCCCAATTTTCTTTTGTCTTTCTCTTTTTCTCGCTTTATACAATCACAAATTATACAATTGATTCTTTTGTATATGTATTCCGAAATATACATATTTAACGCAATTATACAAACTATAGCTATAGCATACAAATATGATTTTTATGTTTGCTAAACCTAAAATTTACTCAAAATTTATCCAACTACTCATATATGGCCATATATAGCTAGTTTAATTAATTTCTTGGTCCATCGCTTTATTACTTTTAACTTACATATTTTTATTTTTATTTTAAAATAATAATAGTTGAAGTGGAATAATTTCCACGTGGATCCAATAAAGTATAGTATATAGGGAAAAATAAGTCAATTAATTGACAACTTCAATTTGATTTTTTCTTCATATATAGCATAGAATATAAAATTGAAAAAGACGAGACAGAAAAATTTAAGTTGACAATAAGATTCTGAAGATTTATTGCTAAACTTCCAACCACTATTGAAATAGAAAATAATAATAGTATCTATAAATTTTATAGCTAAATAGTAAAATTTATCGTCGATTTTATTTTATAACAGACTAGTGCAGAATTATTAAAAAATAATTAGCTATAAATACCTTGCAACGAATTAATAATAAAGTTCATAGTTAATTTCAATTTACATAAAACGACAAACCCAAAAAAGTTCTTTTCCCTTTAAGGGATCAATCATTTTCAATCACCTCAATGGAACTTTTACGAAAAAAAACAAAAGGCATCACGATAAAGTGCATAGCGCATATATACTACAATTGATGAAAAAAAGATTTGGTCTTTCATTACCAATTCTTTTCATTTTCGATTCGGGATGAGTGGTCGACGTTAGAATGCGATGGTTCTTTAATTAAAAGTCTCGAGTTTAAATTTTGATATATGAAAATTCTTGATAACGAGTGTTTTTTTGTCCAATGAAGTTGAGGGATAAATTTAGATTAGTCAAACTTCAATATAGGTATCAAACAGAACCAAAAAAAATCGGCGGTCGACACTTCTTTTTTTTTTTGGATCGACACATTTGTTAATATTAGTAGTACTTTAAAAAAAGTCGAATCCATTGAACAAAGACAACCTATCTTATCAATTAGAATTTTTTATTTGATTTACTTTGGGACTTGTAAATTTGACTTGTTGTCAAGTACATTACACATGAATGGTTTATAATATTTGCAACTTATTGACACAAATAAAGTTCCCATAAAAATTAAAAAAACACTATTAGAATATGATCTTTCACCAAACAAAAAAAAAAAGGTTACCTTTTCTTCATCATCATCATCATCATGTTTTTAATGAGTTTAAAATTGAACAAACAAAAAGGAATTCAATATCTTTATAGACTAACGATTTTGAATGTGATAATATTAATTCAATTGTCGCTAAATATGTTTGCGAAGGAAAGTTTCAATTGAAAGTATTCATCAACTTATTCATACAAATTAAGTCATAAAGATAATCTTGAGATTATGTAAGATTGGTTTAGGAATTAATTAATCTTGAGAAGTCATACTATTAATTAGTTTGAAGCATAAAAGCATGCATGCACTTTTTATCTTCACTTTAAAATAAGGGCTAACCCATCGGTGGCCCCCTAAACTTGGCACGATCTTTCACTTAGACACCTTAACTAGGCTTTGTTCATTTTAGACACCTCATGTCAGGCTCCGTTGTGTCATTTTGACACTTTTTTCACTAGCACATGTTGACTTCAAGTGCGTGTTAACCAAGCGCGTCCATATGGATTAGATGCCCAATTATATCATGCCAACTCATTAAAAGACTATCATATTAAAGAGGAAAAATAAGAATTAAAATACATGACAAAGTAACCAATGAATAAATGACATGTGGTCTTTTTATCCCAAAAAATTAAATTAAATATTTGACAAATTTAAAGAAAAATGCAACCCCCACAACATCCCTAGTCATCTTCTCCATTGTATTACTCCATTTTTATTATTTTTGAGCTTTATTCTTTCTGTCATAAACCCACACCCACACAATCTACTCTATCATATTCCGTCATTTTCATTACCTTTTCCGTCACACCCATAACCACACAGCCATCTTCCCCGTTTTATTCCTCTTTTTCATGATTTTTTCTGCCATATTCCCCATTCATTGCACCCTCCCTTAGGGCTAAAAGGTGCAAATGTATAACAACAATGGTTCATATTTTAAAGATTGCGTCTCTTTTTCTTTAATTTTGTGATATTTGCAGTTTAATTAGGGCTCAAGGTTAGTGAGATTAACATTTACATAGTAAAAATTGAGATTTTTTGGCTCCTATTTTAGGATTATTGTGGGTGAACTTTACATGATTTAGGGTGTTGTTGATATGAGTTCGATTTCTTGTTTCTTTTTGGGTCTATCTGAGTTTGTAGTGCGAAAGAAATAATGGGAGAAATAATGGCAATAAAATGGGAAAGAAGAAGAGAAAAAATAAAATAAAATAGACTAAATAA